AGATACGCTGAAAGTAAAATACGCTGAAAGTAGATGCTGAAAGTGAAATACGTTGCAAGTAAATTGGAACCTACTGTAGTGACAGCAAATAGCAGGAATATTTCCATGCATTTGTGTGATATGCCCAGTTTCCTTCCAGTAAAATACAAGTCCATTGGCAAAAAAGTCTTATTTCTTTGACTAGTCATGAGAACCTCCGTACAAAAAGAAAGCAGAATTTTCCATCCTGATTCTGTGCTGTCTGCATGAACAATATCATTTTTCTTCATGCAGCAATTGGCCTGCATGATAGATTTACTCACCATCCTTTCAGTTTTGCTTCTTGTTTTCATTTTTAATCTATTTAATTTCCGTATTATCTACCATGCACTTGGACCCCCTAAAATTCACTTGTATTGCCTGGAAAAGATACTGCAACCGTAGCGTAGCAACTCCAGAGTTTCCCCTGCCATAATTATTGCATTTATTTCTAAATCATTAGTTTATTCTTAAATATATGACAAGTATTGATATTTATGTATAATGCAACACATGCTACAAACCTATCATAATGGTATGAAAACAGAATAGCAAATACATTCTAAGACTGAGTCTAATCATTTCTTATATTTGTAGCACAAATAGAGTACATGGAATTGCTTCTGAAGATTGCCTGAAAACTTCAGTTAGTTTCAAATGCAGCTGGTAGGCTCCTAATTGGGACTGACCACTGAGAACACATTTCACTGGTTCTTAAAGAACTCCACTGACTCCTGGTCTGCTTCTAGGCACAGTTCAAAGGCTTGGTGCTAACTTGTTAATCCTTGAGTTCCTGGTGACTTGAGGGAATGTCTTCTCCCCCCTGAGTGGGAGACAAGGGTCAGTGGACAAGGGTTGTAGCTTAGTGGAAAAACAACTGTTTTGCATGCAGAAGGGTCCCAGCTTCACACCCCCCCCCCAGCATCTCCAGATAGGGCTCAGAAAGACCCCTGCCAGAAAGTCAATATACACCATACTGATCTAAGCGGGCCAATGATTTGATTCAGCGTAAGGCAGCTTCCTATCAGCGCTGGATAGTGTGGGTGGTTCCACCAAACAGGGGCCAAGGGGGCACAAAACTAAGAAGATCAATAACTGAGAAGATCCATTTGGGGGCACCAAATTTTGGCTTCACTCAGGATGCCATCTTACCAAAAATTCCCAAAGTCCCCTCCTATCCCTGTGTTATCTTTGGATATCCTCCTCTGGGTGCATCCAACACCCAAGGTGAAGCAGATGGTATATGGAAGGGAAGCCTTTTCAGACTCAGCTAGTACTTAGGTCGACAACTTTTCAGTGTCAAGTAAGGAGTTTTATAGTTCCATAGTCTTTGTAACTTGATAAGATTTTATGCTGCTCTTTCTATTGTCCTTTTATTGACTGTTGCTTAATTATTTTTTGTTTTATATCTTTTTAATGTAAGCCACCCAGTCTTATGGAAGTGTGTGTGTGTGTGTCTATTTGTCAAAGTAATTCTTACCCATACAAAACTTGCTTAGAAGAAATAAGAAAGCACTTAATTAAAATGGGCACAGTCTTTCAACCCTCTTTTTGCAGCTCCTGCAATCATACAAGGAATGCCAAGAATCATGCAAGGCCAAGCAACAACAGATTTTGGAAAAGCCATTTTGCTTTTGTGGCATTTATGACTCACAGAAGTGCACTTATACTCACTCAAAAGCTGTTTAATCTCCTGTGCTATAATAGCTGCTCTGTTTGAAAGGCAGCAATTTATTACATACTCACAGAGTACCTGTTTCATGAGATTACATATTTATGATGTTGCTTGTTGAAGCTAACATTCTTTAAAAAACAAAACAAACCCACAGTGTTTTAGTCTTACCCATTTAGGTTGGTTGTTTTTTGTTTTTGTTTTAATAAAGGTCAGTGTGGTTTTGTAATCATGGTTTGACTCTCTAGCAAAGCACCGATCACTGGAGATGAAGCGCCTTTAGCTCTGAAAGAAATGTCCATGTTAGTCAATCATGACACCTGCTGGTTAATTAAATAAAACTTTTAACAAGCCTTGAAAGAGAGCAATAGATAGAAAAGAAGTCTAAGAAAACTAGCAGATAAAGGAAGATGTATGAGAGTTAACTATACACAAATTTAAACTTTTGAGATTAATTATACATATAGCAAGAAACAAGACGCCCTACAGAAGAGGTGAGGAAGGAAGGGGAAACACATTGAATAATCTAAAGTTTTTTTAAAAAAATCATGCACCAAAATCTGAATACAGTTCCAATCACATCTATGGCTGATGAGGGTTATTATTATTATTATTATTATTATTATTATTGCCAACCTTGGCATCATCAGCCATAGATGTGGTTAGAACAATGTCCACATTGTTACGCTACATCCCATTGCACTACCGTCAACCTGAACCCCAACAGCAGCAGATGCCACATATCTCTATGCAACTTCCACCTCCCCACCTGTCATGCAAACCCCTTCCCTTCTTCCATCTTACCAGAGAATTGCTGAAGTTCCTAGAATAGCTCTAATGCACACAGAGGCAGAGATAGGACAGCATAACGGGTTCTGCCACACTGGGCGCTGAGCCTAGGGGGTGCTGCAAGGCATCACAACTATGATGTTGTTGTAGTGAATGAAGCAAAACATGAGGCAAGAGGTGGGCAGTGTGCCAAATTTTGATATGGTGCTGCTGCTGAAACTTGAAAGACCAAAATCCACCCTTGATGCACGAGGACAGCCAAGACTGACTCTTGCATCTCTCCAGCTGCTCTGCATATGTTGCTTTGAACCAGGTCAACGGAGACCCCAGTCATTAATGAGCATAAGCCAGGGATGGGGAACATTTGGCACTCCAGATGTTGTTGGACTGCCACTCCTATCATCCCCGCCCAGTGGCCATACTTGCCTGGGCAGTTAGAAGTGGCAGCCAGCAATACCTGGAGAGCCCCAGATTCCCTATCCCTGATTTAAGGGCCAGCTTGAAAACTATTTACTGGGTCATTTAAAATCAACCTCACAATAAGTTTACAGCCCAGTTGCTGTATCAGTATAGCCTGTTAACAGGCAGTGCTGCTACGTCTAATGCTTGGGGAACACCAATGCAAGTTTGGTTTCAACCTTAGCTCTCACCAGCCATTAGAACCAATGCTGCTTTAAAGGAGTCTTTGCCAATTTGCCCCTCCTACAACCTAATGAACAGGCTGCCCTTGGCCACGGGCACATCTGGGTGGCCATGCTGCTGCTTTTTCATCTTTAAGGTGCTTCCTATATCTCCAGTTAAGCACAACTGGGGCCAGCCCTACCATTAGGAAGAATGAGCTGCCTCAGGCAACTAATTCTGGGTGTCATATAAGGGGGAGCAAGTTGTTATTTCATTTATCACTGTTGTATTTTATTCTATTTTTACTGCCAGGGAGGGAAAGAGGCACTTGTGGGGGTTTTCCAGCTCGAGTGCCAAAATAACATGAGTGACCATGCGTACTTTGGCTTTGGCGATGGCGTGGAGAGGTGCTGAAGGTCTTGGGCTGACCTTCAGCATAATATCCAATGTGCAGTGACATTTTGGATGCCTTTCCCCTATGTACCTATGAAGCATAACAAGAGGAATGGCCCTGAGCCTCAAAAGAGGGCATCAGTGCCAAGAGGTCTTGTCATGAGCGCCACCTAGAGAGGCCTGTTTTAGCTTGCTACTTCTCTTGTTGTTGACTAAATGAAATCAGGCAAAGCTTGGGAGAGGAGAGGGGGGTATTGAAAAAGAAGCATTGGCAGAGAGGTACTGCAGATAAATTCTGCCTTGAAGGAGTCAGAGTGAGAACTCTGTGTTCTGAGGGATTCTGTTTTGGAAGTGTGGTTTCGCTTAGGCTCCACAACTGATTATACAATTTTCTGTCAAGGTTGCCAAGTAAACAGGACTCTCCAGAGCTGTTTCTGTTCTGACCAGTTGATCATGGCCTTGTTCCATTAACTCTCTGGGCAGAACTAGAGATTATAAGAGGTAAGGAGCTGCCGCTGTTGCTCTCAGTATCTTTGCTCCCTCTTTCTTTTAACATCTACTGCAATATAACATGTAACCAACCTGTTCATGGCATTTCCTTGCCCTGGTTAGAAAGTGGCATGAGACGATGTGTGTGGGGGGGTGTACAATGCAAAGATGTTAAGTCACACTGGGGATGGGCAAATCTGTTTATTTCAGCTACTCTGTTTCTCGTTTAAGTTCTCCACATTTCCATGATTTTTTTGGGTGGGGGGGAAGTCCTCATGAAAATTCACCAGCATACCAGTGTGATTTTATCCTAATATACACATTTTTGCGAAGCAATTTCTAAAATATAAAGCATTTTCATGTGTTCTTTTCACTAATGTATGCATTTTTGCACACATTTCTTGACTGGAGAACGGCATTGCAAAATTGGGACAAGTGTGAATTTTGAAGGAAAGCTGCTTTTCTGTTCATATATCGTTTCAGGAAGTACAAATTAGTTCAGTTCACCATCGATTGCATCTGCTTATTTATGTATTGTTAAATATCTATATGCAGCCCTTCATTTCTCAATTCCTAGATGGTTTGCAATGAATTAAAAACATAACAAGAACACCATAAAAACTTCAAATTAATGCCTGGCTTTAAAAAAGAAAAATCCTCAGCAAGTTCCCCCATGCCTGGGTGCATAAAAAAGTTTTTTGTTTTGTTTTGCCAAGCTTGTAAAGGATAACAGTGTTGGCACCAGGCAAGTGTCCTTGAGGGGGGCATCCCAGAACGAAGGTGCCATAGCCAAAGAGGCTCTTTTTTATGGTTGCCGGCCTCACCTCTGCTGGGGAAGCCCATGGAGAAAAACCCCAGCTCATGATCTTACACTGCAAGTAGGGTGACAGGAGATTAGGTGCTTTTTCAGGTAATGGGATCTTAAGCCATTTAGCGCTTTAAGCACCAGTGTACCACTGAAGCTCTTTCAACACTAGAGTAAATAATATGAACAAAACAAGCAGCGCCTGTCAAAACTCTGGCCCTTCTGCATCCGGTGCTAATTGGAGCTTCCAAATTATCTTCAAATGTAGCCCTAAGCATAACACATTGCAGTAATCGAACTGGGAGGTTTATGGAGCATGAATAACCTTGAGCCAGAGAGCTCTGTATTTCTTAAAATGTCTTACTCTGCCCTTTGACTGTCTCCGTGACTTCTGAGAATTGGAACTTCTTATGGTCATCTTTTAAGACTTTCTGTTCTTCTCCTTCTCCATCTCTCATTGGTTTAGAGACGCTAGTAATGCATTAGTTGTTCTTAGCTGTGTCTGAAAAGAAATCATGTGAAATGCCCTGGGGCCAGGGTTTTTTTTTTAAAAAAATCATTTTGCTTTGAAGCTTTGCAATTTCTATTGGCGTAATGTAAGATTAACACAAGCAACATTAAAAAATATAACTGTGGATAATTTTCATAGCTGTTTGCAGACGTGTACAATCCAGTTGGAGCTGCAAGTGTGCACAAACACAATTATACACACTAAAGGGCTGTCTGTCACTATAAGGAGGCAACCTGAAGGGGCAGGGGGCAATGAATTGGTCCCTTTCTTGTCTGCCTCACTGCCTGCCAGCCAGCCCTCCTGATGCTACTATGACCAGCTACCCATCCAGCAAGGCTTCTGCCTCTCTAGCCACTCTGCTCACTCTGAAGAGGCCAAAGGAGTTATCAGAGCAAAGCATTCTGGGTGAGGTGGCCAGGAGGGCACCTGGACTGCCACCATGGTTTGCCACAGTGGCTAGAGATGAAGTTTAAAGTCACTTTGAATTCTTAAAGTTTAAACAGCATTTCTAGCTGCAGCAGCAACACTACAGGCACTCCCCTGGCCACTTCACCTAGATTGCCTCCCTCTGAGGAAGGACCACCTCAGCCCTTCCTCAGAGTAAGGCAGGAAGGGAGACATGTTGTGGAGGGAAAACCAATGGGAGCTGGGGAAAATGTGTGGGCAATAGCTATTGTACAGGGGAGAAGGAGTTGGGCTGTAGCAGAGCCTCCAGCTGCCTCAGGTAGCAGAATTTCTTGTGACAGCCCTAATGGCCCAGTTTGGATGTTACATCCAGTTAAAGTTGGCTTGTTTCAAACAAGCCATATTTAAGATTAACCACAGGTTGCTTGGGATGGTAAGAAGCTGTGGTAAAGCGAAACTGATGGGGGAGCCCAAGGCTGACTGCAGCTTGTTCTCATAATACAAAGCTATTGTTTATTGTGATGGCTAAATATGACCAATGAATGTCAGTCAGTGTTTTTCTCCTCTTGCTTCCCTGTCTGCCATCTTCCCTCCCCCTTTCTCCTAGTGTGACAGTTCCTCCTGCTTTTCCTCATTGCAGCTCCCTTTGGTTTGGCTTCTCAACTCTCAGACCTGGTCTGCAAATTCCCATGGATCATCCCAGTGCTCCACCAAAACTCCAGTTTCAGCCCTACTATGACTTGCATCTTTAGCGTCTCCACCCCCATTGTTCTACCCGGACACTGAGGTCCAGCACCAAGAGCTTTCTGGCGGTTCCCTCAGTGCGAGAAGCCAAGTTACAGGGAACCAGGCAGAGGGCCTTCTCAGTGGTGGCACCAGCCCTGTGGAATGCCCTCCCACCAGATGTCAAAGAGAACAACAACTACCAGAGTTTTAGAAGACAACTGAAGGCAGCCCTGTTTAGGGAAGCTTTTAATGTTTGATGGATTACTGTATTTTAATATTTTGTTGGAAGCCACCCAGAGTGGATGGGGAAGCCCAGCCAGATAGGCAAGGTATAAATTATTATTATTATTATTATTATTATTATTATTATTATTAACTATTTTGTGTTTGGCTGCATATTTAGCTTCTTGTGCCTTTCCCTCAAGGTCAGAAGTCATATGTTTGTGAAGGGAAGATCTCTACCTTCTTCTTTCACTAATCTCCCTTTGCCACCTTCCACCACTGCAACGCCTTCTCCACCCAGTATGAAGTTAGGGATGGAGTTGGCATTCCACAATTGTATCTAGTCTAGCCGCATATGCAGCATATAGTTGCTACTGTATACGTTAAGGAAAGTTAGAGGATTTAGAAGGATTACCTATGCTCACTGGAGTCAGGGATATATTAAATCTTTGTATTCATTTTCAAACACCTGTTCAAATGTCTGTTGAGGCTGGCTGTGTTAATCCTTAAAGCCCATACTTGTTTTTCACTTGAGATTTCACACCGTGGTTTTTTAAAAAAATCATTTTAATCCACTGACCCTGTGAAGGCTTATTTTTGTTAGAGGGAAATGGCAAATATCTTGCTTTCTGAAATGATATGTTTATAAAATGGCATGTTTAGGAAATTTGTATTTCTAGAAAATGCAAATTGTGGAAAAAGCCCAAATCATAATAATAATAATAATAAAGTAGCTAGCCCACAATTACTGGAGAATATATTGTACTCAATTTCCTCACTGCCTTTTCTTCAGAGGCCAGCTAATCTGCACACCACCCTTGCCCCCACTTGCCTCCATTTTCCCTGCCCTGTTTCTTCACATATGCACATTTAGCCTTCCTTCATGAGAAGGAGGCAGGGTGATGATGAGCTTCATCCACTGGAGTGGTGACTGGGCTTCTGTGCCCTTATAGAGCCTAACCATAATTTGAGGTGACGTTCAGGTAGCTCCACCCCAAAATGAATAACACAAGCAGTCATTTGGAACACTGGTATTTTAGTCATGCTAGTGAAAAGAATATGCAATCCTAGTCTCCTGTCCCCAAATTATCTACATCATTGCACAAGATCCTGGGTTATATCCCGCCCCGCCCCCCCCCCCCCGATCATTTTCTACTCAGGGTAGCAAAACATTTTGCTCTGGCTCTGAGCTCATCCACTGCCTGAAAAGGTTTTTGAAGTGTTATTCATACAGTTTCCAATACCCAGGAACAGCGCTAGCTATGAGATTTGGGGAGTCTTTGGACAATGCTCCCCTGAACCTGGAAAAGGTAGTGCTGCAACCCAAGACTTACCTCTGACCTCCTTGGATGCTTCATGATAAATATTGTCACCAAGACTAACAACCTTGGTGGGGCTGTGATATCTTGGCTCTTCTTGGGTCACTGGCAAATACCTGAACTTGCCACCCTCTGGATCCCGCTCAGGTTAGAAGTGTGATCTTTATAGGTGAGTTGTCAATTTTTCAAAGATCTACTGAGTCATCAAAGGAAATCAAAACTTCCTTATAAAATGTCTTCCTGTGCACCGTTGTTCCAGTCTCCTGCTGTGACTCTGAATCTATGATGCCTTTTAGCTATTCTCTTTGCATCTCTGTTGTATTTCCAAAAACCCTCTGCCAAGCAAAGCTGTCCTCCTGTTATTAGGACTCTATCCTGTTCTTGCTGTGCTCAGTTGCAAATCTCCCGCCAGCTTTAATGGCAAACAATCACACACTGTAGTACATTTTATTTTACAGAAAATGATACATCGTCATTTGTTCCCTCCAAGCAGATGTTCCCCTCCTTCTTTATCAGATGTTGCTTCATTCATAAGTGTGAAGGCAGTAATAAAAAGGGGCCCAGGTGCAAATAGAAGGACATTGGAACATCCCCAATTACAGCCAGAACTTTGCTTTTTAAACATCTCTCTTGACTAGTCACAAAAATGCTTTAACTATAGCACATTTCAGTGCCTGGCATAAAAATATTGGCAGGATTTGCCATGCCTCCAAACACCTATCTGGAATTGTTCAGTGCTGCCAGTTGGTAATTCAGCCAATGCTCGTTTTGTGCAATTTAGGTTTCATTCCCCAAATGGCTTGTAGCCCCACATAGTGATAAACACAGGTAGGCACAAAATCTCTAATTCATGAATGGGTCCTAGAAGATAATTCAAAGGCAGTGTTAAGTATGTTCCATGTTTGTTGGTGGCAATTTTAGCAGAGGCAGTTATAGGGTGGCACAACCGATGTGGTCGCACTGGGTGCTATGCTGCAGGGGGCACTAAAACAATGCTGTTGAATGGAGCGAGAGAGGCAGTCATGCCAAATTTTAGCATAACTGCTGGTCCAAAGCCTTTGTTTAAGTTAATGGGATCAACGAAGGCAACACTTTCTGTCCTTGTGTTCCCTGAAAAGAAGTTGAATTAGCCAGATGTTAAGTAGAGACTGATGCACTGAGAAACATCCACCACTAACCCGAAAAACCACATTGCGTTCCCATCTTGGTTCCCTGTATTCACATATGAAATAATCTTTTCATTCAGCCTTTCCTAGCTTTGTACTCTTAGTACAGATGTATTGGACTACAGTTGTCCTTACAATTGGCCATGCTAGCTGTGAATGTTCTGCCTGGGCCTCAACTCCTGAATGAGATGTGGGAGGTGTCCTTAAAGCTATAATCACATTTCTCCTCACAGAAGTTGTAGTCCAACAAGAAGTGGAGGGCACCAGATTGGAGAAGCCTGCTTTAGTTGTTTTCTTTCCATGATAGCTGATCTGGCAAAGCAGTTAAGCATGGAGGGGAGAACTTTAAGCAGCAAGCAGTCCCACCAACAAAGCAACATTTGTGCTGAAATTATTCATACAAATCATTGCTTCGCTGGACCCATGCCCTAGCCTTCAAAGTTTACTAGACGTTTAAATGAGCATTGTGTTCTGGGACATCACAACCTCCTCCTGACAGATCATGATATAAAACATTTTACTGCACTTCTTATAAATAAACAATACCAGTGAGGAACTTGGTTATATTATATGCTGTGCTCAGAGTTCCCATCTCTGACCAGTTGGCCTTCAGAACACTCCCAACTCTCATGAAATTGTTAGTTTATCTTACTGAAATTTAACCGTCCTTTTACTGGACAGAAAGCTAATACCATCCACATGGAACGGCAAGGCGTTTGATGAGAGGTGTGCATGCGGAAGAGACTGTTGCTGTCAAGCTACATGAGCCGAAAGGAAGAAGGGGGAGGCTAATGGTGGTTTCACACAGCCAGTTTTCTCATGCTATCAAATGATTTGTTTTTCAGACCCCATGCAGAACTGGACCATGGGAAAGGGGTTAGGTATATATTCAGATCATGCAGCAAGATTAGTTTAGAAAACTGTATTTTGGGGGCTTGCCCAGATAGTGTTTATACAATATCATCAGGATGTGTTCTGCACAGGGACCAGTTCTCTTGTCCCCCAAATCGGTAGAACTCTGGAATATTAAATAATATTACACGGCAGTATCCAGATGCAGCCTAGCCTTCACAATGTCCAACCACATGTACGTGGTTAGGGCAGTAAGTCTCCTTAAGAACAGGAATTTATTGCATTGAATCAAGAATGTGCCACATAGACACACAGAAACATAGAGTTGGAAGGGACCACAAGGGTCATCTAGTACAACCCCCTGCAATGCAGGAATGTTTTTGCCCAACTTGGGGTTCAAACTCTCTTGCTCTGCCAACTGAGCTAATGCAGTAGCTCTTAATTGTTCTGAATTCATAACAATTGACTGTGACTAGAAAGTAGCATTATTACTTTCATCCTAAGGTCCCACGGTGGGTAACAACTACTGAAAAGACAGCAAGTAAAACAGTTTAAAGCAACTCCTTTTTAAACAACATCTCATATCCCTCTTTGGGGGGGGAAGAAGAAGAAGAAGAAGAAGAAGAAGAAGAAGAAGAGGAGGAGGAGGAGGAGGAGGAGGAGGAGGAGGAGGAGGAGGAGTTTGGATCTGATATCCCGCTTTATCACTACCTGAAGGAGTCTCGAAGTGGTTAACATTCTCCTTTCCCTTTCTCCCCCACAACAAACACTCTGTGAGGTGAGTGGGGCTGAGAGACTTCAAGTGTGACTAGCCCAAGGTCACCCAGCAGCTGCATGTGGAGGAGCAGAAATGCCAACTCAGTTCACCAGCTTATGAGTCTACCGCTCTTAACAACTACACCACACTGGCTCTCTTTGGACAGACATCTCTTCAAGTTGTCTTCTCACAGCCACTTAAGCCCTGCTGTTAGTTATAGATCATCCGCCAATTGCATAGGGAGTCATCCCTTTGTCTTTTAAATGGGTAGTGTCGCCATCCTATCACAGCTTTATTCCATTGACCTGAATAGCCTTTTGACATATGCCCCCATATTTTAAAAAACGAAAACTTACAATGAAAGGATAGACTCTAAAAATCTACACCCCAGGTGTCGAAGACCCGGGTAAAGAGTGTTGGGATACTGCCAGGGAGACAAAGGCCATCAAGCCCCATGCCGTCTCTGGACGATCCAGCGATCTCTCGTAGAAACGCAGTATCAGTTAATTAGCGACATGAGCCCCAGAAATAGCTTCCCACATTCCAGAGCTCTTGCACGCTCTATCAGCAGAGTTCACACAGCGAAAGATGCACGCAGGAGAGCATTATTTACAATTTTATTCAGCATTGGTCAGAACAAATAAAACATGACTGCCTGCGTTGATGTCTCAGGCACAGAGAGAGAAAACGAAAGCAAATACAAAAGCATAAACTTCCTGTGAACAGGAAATACGCAGACTCTGTGACTCACAAAGCCTGCTCCCTTTTAAGGTGGAACGGAAATATCCTAACAAAGAGTTGTCTTACTTAAAAATAGGGAGGTTTTGGAACTGGAAGGCTGGGATAAAATTTATGAATGGCATGGCTATTTATTTTACGGGAAAATACAAGTACATAAAATATTTACGAATCATTTAGTTAGAAAGGCCGTGTTTGAAGTATGGGAGAGAACAAAGGAGAAAATTATAGAAAAAAACACCGTGGTGGACCTCCCCAGTAGAGGCAACCTCCACACTTAAAAATAATGCAAAAAATTCATGGCCAATCTATAAAGAATTGGTGGAAGAAGTGAATGAAAATCCTAAATTAAAAGAGTATGAAGAATTTTAAAAGATAGGAATAAATTGGCTGGAATATTTTCAGTTGAAAGTGACATTTGAGAAAGATATAAAGAGTAGAGGATTTGAAAACGAAACATCAGTTAGATAAAGAAGTTTTACACACACAAAAAAACTCACAAAAATGTATAAACCATTAAATAATACACAAACAGATCGAGAAATTAAAAGGAAAGATATGCTAAAGTGGGAACAAGATTTAGGTTACAAAATTGATTATAAAGATTGGGGGAAATTTTGGACAAAAAATATAAATTTTACGGCCTGTTACCAATTAAAATAAAATTTTATGAAGATGCACCATAGATGGTATTTGTCTCCAGACAGGTTGGCAAGAATGAATAAATCGGGTAGTAATGAGTGTTGGAGGTGCAACAGAATGACTGGCACTTTGTATCATATGTGGTGGTCCTGCCCTGAAATTAAGAAATTTTGGAATATGATACATGAGGAAATTTAAAAATTGATAAAAATATCATACAACAAAAGAGCAGAATCATATTTATTAGGAATCTTGAATGGAGACATCCTGAAAGAGAAAATAAATATTTTCCTGTATGCAACAGCAGCAGCAAGAATGCTGATATCCAGCCATTGGAAAGGAAATCACATCCCAACCAAAGAGGAATGGTTGAATAAACTATGTGAATATTTAGAATTAGCAAAGTTAACTGATTTAATAAGACAAAAGCTAAAGAGTATAATTCAGAAACAATGGAAATGTTTAAATGACTATTTATACAGACAAAGATCAAATACAAGGTTTTGGTTGTGTTTAGAATAGACTTGTGAGAGACCCAGAGAACTTAGCTACCTGATTATTTATATGAGATTCTTTGGGAGGAAAAAAAATGGAATAACAGATACAATTATGTTTGAAATGTCTATAGGAAGTGCAGTGTAAGCGGTGGAAGTCATTCAATGAAATTTTATTATTATTTGTTTATTGAAAAACATGTAGAATAAATTTGGAAGAAATTCTTCCTACTTTCTTCTTTCTTTTTCTTTTTCTTCCTTCTTTTTCATTCTTCTTATTTTCTCTTCTACATTTTTCTTTTTTATTAACAGCATTATGGAGAATTTTGGATATATGTATGTAATTGTAACACTTTGTTAATTGATTCTGATTTTGTAATAGTCATATTAAGCTAATAAAATATTTTTTTTAAAAAAGAGTTGTGTATTGAAGCATTCGCTTGAAACAGCAAAGTGAAATTTCCAGATGCACTTTTGTGGGGTAGGAGTTCCACAACCTTGGGACTGCAGTAGAGAATGCCCTCTGCTGGGGAAAATCACCACAACTCTTGAGGGCAGCTGAACTACCAAGAGGGTTCCTTCTTCTGTTTTCAATGGAACCATTTCTGCATCTTCAGCCCAGCCACCAAAGGAGGCAGCAGAAGCTGAGGGTGCAGGCAGGTCAAGCCTGATGCTGGCCAGTGGATCCCAGGCCGGCTCCATCATCAGGATGCCCCATTTGGGGGCTTTCCGCTGGGCTTCACTGGTGGAGATACTGCCAGTGGCCTTTCCACCCACCCACATGCCTTGTGTCAGGACTCTGGCAGCAGCCAACATAATGTAGGGTGGGGTGGATCAGATCCTAAATTTACCTGATAAAGTGTCAAAATTGAGATGTGGAAAATATGGAAACAATGAGGAGAGGCAGGACTGAGATGTGAAGATATGCTTCAGAGATCCAGACTGTGGGGAGCTCCGAAAAATTAATAATTATAATTTGGACTATAATTTGGTCTTTTTTATTTCAATTGGAGTATTATGATTGGATATATTAATTGGATGTTTTTTATTGGAAAATCAATAAAAATGATTTTTTAAAAAGAACCTAAATTTACCTGTTTACACTGTATAAAACTTAATAGCGTTCTAGGTTTGTTGTTGTTGTTAAAAATTGAGCATCGGTTAATGTTTAAACAGTTGAGTTAATGCCCTTACAATTCATTGGATGCAGGAAAGACTTTGGTGCTGTAACAAGAATATGATCATGATTATTTTGTAGCAGAAAAGGAAGGAATGTATGAAGGAGTATTAATAATACACAAATATCTTTTGTGTGTCCTACTGTGGTGATAATAGTTCTGGTATTGTGTTAGCCAAAGGGAATATGAAAATACACACAGTCCCAAGTTCTTTTGTCTTACTATAAATACTTTCCTAAGTTGCTTCTGGAGTGAAAATGTTTCTTTAAATTCTCCTTCTCTTTTTATGCAGGGCTGGGGAGAGAGAATGGAACGACCACATGCTTTTCTATTGCGCATCATTATTCAGCGTTTTCTTGGAAAGATGATTAGTGCCTCAAAATGTAATCGGTGGGTGGAGAACGGATGGAGATGCTGAACACAGCGGTTAGCTGAGATATATAACATTGCTACAGTGTTTGAATAGCAAGAAATTTCATTTCCTGGGTAATATTATTCAGCTACTGGAACAGTTTTAACAACACCCACTACAATTCTAGGCTACTAATGATCCAGAAACTCAATGGAAGTCTTGGTGTAATATCATGCATCAAATATGGGACAGCTTGTATTAGGCATTGTTGAAACTGAAAATAATGGTTCTGGTGTTTGTGTGTGTGTGTGTGTGTGTGTGTGTGTGTAAGTAAAATAATAATCTATGAGACAGCATCACGCTGGTAACTGAAGGCCTCTGGATTTAATTCCTTGAGGAAATGCAGATGTCATAAGGTTTCACGTTAATGAGTCTGCATATTTGGGGTCAGCAACCATTTCCCTTACTGCCCAGACCCTGATCAGAACAAGACCCTTATCTCTTTCAGGCGAACCTGACTAGATTATCTCCTTACCCTTTCTGACTCCGTAGGTCTGGTCACCTAACTTCACAAAATGCAATCTAAAGCTGGGGAAAAGTTCAGAAAAGGGCAATCAAAATGATCAAAGGGATGGAGTAACTCCACCATGAGGAAAGATTACAATGCTTTTTAGTTTAGAAAAAAAGGTAAGTAAGAAGGGACATGGCTAGGGATGTCAGAGGGCATCATTTTCCCATTCCACCCTGTTTTCGTCACATGTAACACTATGGTTTATCTTCCACCAAAAACTACATTATTTGTCTCACTACTGTGGTGAGCTAACATAACTTGCATAACCTACACAATTATGTAAGTTACATTATTCCACCCCATTAATTCTAGTGCAAAGGAAACAATGCATATGAGGAAGGGAAATGTAATCAGTTACGTATCATTTGTGGACTAAAAACAACAATAGCAGTGAACACTGATCAGTATTTTCTGGATTGTGTTCCGGACATGGAATGAACGAGCAAACATTGGCTCCAATTTCCATTTCCATCAGAGTTCTCTGACACCCATCAACATGCTTGAGCTGTAGAAGATTAAACATGGTATGGAGAAAATGGGTAGAAAGGCACAATGGTAGAACCCAGGCGGCATCCAATGAAGGTGAATGTTGGATGATTGAAGATATACAAAGGAAAGTACTTCTTTACACAGTGCATCGTGAAACTGTGGAAGTCTCTCCTACAAGACACAGGGATGGGTGTCAACATGGATAGCTTTAAAAGAGAATTAGACAAATTCATGGTTAAGTCTCTCGGTGGCTATGTTCCATACTGCCAGAAGCAGTATGCTGCTGAATACCAGATGCTGGGAATCACGAGTGGGGAAAATCATAGAATCACAGAATTGTAAAGTTAGAAGAGCCGTCCAGTCCAATCTCCTGCAATGCAGGAATCTTTTTTGCCCATTGTTGGGCTCGAACCCTCGACCCTAACAGTCTCATGCTCTACCAGCTAAGCTATCCTGAGTGCTGTTGCACTTGTATTCTTGCTTATAAGCTGCCATAGACATCTGGTTGGCCACTATGAACACAGGATACTGGACTAGATGGGTCTTTGGTCTGCAATATGGCAATCCTGCCATAGACATGAAAATTTGGTAGCTGTAACCATAATATACGGTAACTAAAATAGTAATGCTGCAATCCTGTGCACAGTTAGCTGGGAGTACGTCTCTTTGAACTCAATAGGACTTACATTTGAGTAGACTTGCATAGGCTTCCATTATAAGCAAATGAAATACAAAGTTGCTGCAGTGTGTGTGTGTGTGTGAGAGAGAGAGAGAGAGAGAGAGGGAGAGAGAGGGAGAGGGAGAGAGAGAGAGATTCTCCTAAGTGCTTTGCTCATGAGTTCATAATAATTTCAGAGGGGTGAAAGAAATATCAGTCAAGATGAAGCAATGTATATCTATCTATGATGACCTCATGTTCTTCACGTTTCTGTCATGAATGATATCCTGTCTATGAATTTAGCTGCACAAAACAGCTCACACCTGCCACTAATCTCCATTTTCTTTAGTTTATTGATGGAAAGCCAATAACAAAGAGCTGTGGCGTTCCCTGGATGATCACAATTATGGGCATGTAGGTCATAAAGCTGTTTGGCTACAAACTCCATGGGCCATTTCATTTGTTGTTTTCATTAGCCAGGCAACCATTCCCCAAGAGACACTGGGGACTCCTTCAGTGCGTTTAATGGAATCTCTGTGATGTAATTGTCAAAATCCTGGTTGCTATATATGGCAATTATTCCAGACAGATTAGATGACATAGAACAGATGGGCTGCTTGCCTGCTCACTTCTGGCCCCCAACTTTACTCTTTTCTCATATTTAGAGCGGTGCAGTAAAACTGCTCCAACTAAATTAGCCTGGCTGCAGCTCTTAGATCTTTAATACAAGTGATTGGGGGATTGGGTTGGAAGTCAAAGAATTCAGAGCGAACATTATTTCCTCATATGGTAGATCTATTTGGGTTTCTGCGGCGGAAAAGAGTTTCTAAAACTGGTTGATTGTTCTGAAGAATACATTGCCATCCAAGGCAGGACTTATATTAACCACGGAAAGCTAGGCATAGAAAGCTGTAACTGCAATGGCTTCGCCTGCTCCTAAACTTTCAACCAGAAGTAATTCATAAACCATTAGACTAATTCAGACTCTGATTTATTTCTGCATATAATCCTATCCTGTGCTACTGTAACGTCACCTTGGAAACATAAATTTATATCCATTGGAAAATGGAAAAATGCATGACTTTAAGTAAGACTCTGGTGTCATTGCTTTGTATTTAATGAAGGGAAGCTGTTGATTACAAATGCCACAATGGTTAGGTGTTTGGGGGGGCAGAAGAGTGTATACAGTCCCCGCTACAAAGTACGGTGCTCAAAGTTGTATCAAGGGGCATGACATGGGTGACACCATTTCACCCATGTAAGTAATCAGTCAATGATGCACTTACCAAGTAATGAAAAACCATGTCTTCACCAATAAGAGAATCCTTCATTTAAACTTGTGCCTATTGTGAAGGAAAACAAGACTAGCTATTATTATTTTGGAAGCTCTGGACCCTGCATAGAAGTTAAAATAGTAGCAAAGAGGCCCAATTGAAAACAACTATTTTCAAAGCTTCAGTCCCTGATCGTAAACACCACTTCCCAACACTGGAGGATCGGCACTTGTTGTTCAATAAATTTTCTGTTATTTATTTTGTAACTGCATCTAAACCACAATAAATTGTCCAGCACTTGGCTGCCAAACCAGATAAAATATAACTTTTACCATCAATACAGTCCATTTCCAAGGCCAATATAAACTAATGGGCATATTTAAAAGATACAATAGGCTTCTGCATACAGGGACGGAGTCTTTCTCTTCTTCTAAAATAAAACATTTCCCACATAATAGCATCCAATGTACATATTCTATAATGTCTTTCGTTCTTTTTACTTTTACTGGCAGGGCGCTCAAAATGAAGAGTCATAATTTCTCACAGGCCCTTATTCAGAATTTAAAGAAATACTGAACCAGAAAAACTACCCAAAGTATTTTCCCAAGAAAAATAGGTTTCTAAAAACCAGTCCTCCTCCACCACAAGAGGGGTTTTTCCCTTCAGCATAGATATACATTCTGATGTCTGTTCGTGATTTGGCACATTCCCAAGCAACATCGTGATTTGCTTTCTGCAGCTCTGAAAATTAAATCCATGCTTAACTGGCCTTGGTTGTGTGAGACCTGTAATAGCAAGTTGGCGAAAAGGTGAGCCTTGGCTGCTGTTGCTTCTGAGAATTCTGCTGCAGACCATGTGTCTCTCCCGCTCTTCCTGCTGCAGAAGGTTTGCTCCTAGGAGTTGCATTCCTCACAGTGGCACGAGAGGATGTAACGGTAGGTGGCCGTGAGCCTCATGCCACCTGAGCAGCGCAACCTCATGGCTTTCAGCTTGGAAGTCTGTGGCTGGCAGCAGTGGCACGTGGAGCGGAAGGGCTGTTTCAGGACCGTACTGAAGGACACCATTGGTTCGGAGCGTGATGTCTGAGTGCAACGTCCCTCACAACGAGCTAGCAGCACCATCTGCAAAGGAAGGAGACAAAGGAATCAAGGAACGGAGCCCCAGAGCAGTGCAAATTTGTGATGCCAGCAGAAATTGTATCGTTCATAACTACCTGGTTCCTGTTAAGCAGCCCACTTCACAACCCATTTGGGCCTCATTGCATTGTGTTAATAATTTAATTATGGGTATATATACTCTGGGCCTAAGTTTTCTATCACATCAGCTACATTTTGTATACATTGTTTCAGCATATTTGGGGTTTTTTTTAATATAGAATGCTTTGATTATGGATCAGAAGGGGTAAGATATGAAGTGTTGCAAACCCAGTCATGTGATCTAGCACCCGTGGACACCTGGAAATGGCCAATTTGGACTCCAGTTCTTTTCCTAGTCCAGTTGTTTCCTGTCTATTTCTCTAACGCACTTAAGCAGAAAAAGGAATCTACTGTAGTGCTTCTGAGGGAGAGGCATGTATGTGTGCAATAATATTATAGATATGACAGCAGTCTAATTAAAACATTCTCAGCAAACGAAGAAGAAGCAGCCATGCTATTGCCATTGCTAATGGTGAGCTCTGCCCCAAGATGCTGTTACAGAATTTCTTCTTCCCTCTGGGATTCTCTCCCAAAATTCTCCGCTCTATTCATGGGTAATGAAATGCCTCACCCTATCCATGAATAACATGGAGAATTTTCTCTCAACTCTAGGCTTGCTACTGTTATAGAATTAAATACTGATTGGCATTCATTCCTCTCTCTTGTTTTTATGGACCATATTTCCCCAGACACAGATGATATCTTCCAGATTTAATAATAATATAAAGGAGTCTTGTGGCACACAGTGACACACAATGCAAGTAGACTTTTGTCAAGCAAAGCTTATGCCATAAGAAACTTCTCAGTCTTTAGGTGAAACAAGACTCTTTGCTGATTTCTCTGCAATAGTCTAACACTGCTATCCTTCTGGAAATCCCTTACTGATTGTATGTAATGCTTTTAAAGACCACTTGCCCGATATTCCTGTCTGGCCCCTGGGCTCAGCTGTTGAGCCCTTGTTTGAGGTGTCACAAATTCAGTATGTGGGTACCACCAAGAGGGCCTTCAGGCATTGCTTTAGATCAGGTGTCAGCAAATTTTTTCAGCAGGTGGCCGATCCACTGTCCCTCAGACCTTGTGGGGGGGGCGGACTATATTTTTTTTGAGGGGGGGGGGGATGAACGAATTCCTATGCCCCACAGATAACCCAGAGATGCTTTTTAAATAAAAGGACACATTCTACTCATGTAAGAACGCACTGATTCCCAGACCATCCGCGGGCCAGATTTAGAAGGCGATTGTTCTTTCTACTCAGGCCTTCTCCAGCTTAATTGTTGTTTTCAGTTTGCAGTTGACATAATCTTCTATGAAGGATTTATATTATGCTTTGCAGTTTTCTTTTATGCATTTCTTTTATGCATCTTATATATTTTTATATGTTTAGTCTACATCATCCTATATATAGTATAATATAATGCTGGTATCAGTCGTTTGCATTTTTTTAAAATGCTGAACAGAGAAGGCAAGTTCATTTTTAACAGGCAATAATGGGGACAAATCTCTGTATGGATTTGTGAGCTGGTTTTTGCAGAGAAAAGAAGGGCAAATGGTCAGCAACAGCAGCAGGTGTTGGAGCTACAATCGATGGCGCTGCCTCTCTTCCCCACTTCCACGGAGCAGAACACAGCAGAAAACTCAACAGCTGCTATTAAGCCACAGCAAGTTTCTCCAAGCACAATATTCCAAGCAAAAACACCTTTTTTGGCATTTTCTCATGTTTCTAAATGAAAAAGGAAAGGTTGGCCAAAAATCACTTGAAACCATATGTAAACCACATCTACTGCATTTGGATCAAAAGAAAACTGGATCTGAAGCTGTCGTGGAAGGAGGACGTGTGTGGACACAAATGAATTTCATATCCCTTAAGAAAGGCAAGTGGTGTGTTTTTACCTCAATTTTGCTACCAACTGAATGTAATTAAGAATATAAGAAGCTGTGTTACACCGAATCAGACATTGGTTCACCTAGTTCAGCGGTGTCTACAATGACTGGCAGTGACTCTGCAGGGTTTCAGACCAGGGTCTTCTCCAAGCCTGACTTGAAGCTATCAGGGATTTAACTTGGGACCTTCTGTATGCAAAACCGATGTTCTACCACTGAGCTATGGCCCATCCCCAATTACAGAAGGGCCATTCCACCCCACTGCCCTACTTTCAATCCACAAGGGATTATTTCTCAAGAGTACCTCTTTGTCTCATTGTGATGAGGCCTACAAGGTAACCACAAAAAATACACTGATTTTTATTTGGGGGGATATTGTCTTGAATATATGAAATATATACCAATATTAGCAATATATACTAATATTAGCAAAAAGGAGGAGGCCAAATGGGGGTCAAGGATTCAAATTGCATTGAAATTTTGAAATGTATTGAATAGAAAAATGTCTTTAGAAAATGCCTGATACATTTTGTTAAAAAACTTTCCTCAAGTGTACAATATTACAGTTTTCCTGTAATAATAAGAATAATATGAATATTGTAAGAGGGAAACTGTATTCTTGTGTCCTACTGAAATGCATTGACAATTTTCTAGGGACATTTTCATATTCTATAAATTTTGATTTTTTAAAACTCTTCTTGAGGTATTGTTCTTTCTTTCTTCTTCTTCTTCTTCTTCTTCTTCTTCTTCTTCTTCTTCTTCTTCTTCTTCTTGCTAAGAATTCACAGAAACTAAAAATCATAGGGACTTGGCAGCAGGGCTACAGAAGTTTCTGGTGGTGATGAGGAAATCTCTGGTCTTTCCACTCATTATGGAAGTTCTGCTTTAAAATATGGTGGTAGCACCACCACCTTGAAGGAAAGACTGTCTACACAGTCAGTCACACTTTCCCCTTAATACATTCACAAAATGAAACATATCAGGAAGTCTGTAACAAAAGAAGTTGTCTGGCTGAGAAGGGAATGACTAGATGAAGTACTTTAAAACAACCTGAATGACAATGACAGTCCTGAACACTGAGCTGAGTCAGGAAAATTTCCACACAATACAAAACAATCTCCCCAGCCTACATTGTGTCTTTTCAGTGAATGCAGCAACTCAATCAAAACACAAGAAAATATAATCCGGATGAGTGTGGCTAATTTCCCTCTTTTAGCTGTACGTATTTGCTTGCTTGCACTCTGGTAGATTTCTGATTGCAGCTGGTGAACATGTTAGTATTTTTAAATGGTATATTTTTCAATTTATAAATGTACCTTTCAGAGCATTTCTTGCTGTCACATTTTCTAACGCAATTCTGCAGCCATAAAGGCTGAGTGCCAATTCACATAATCTATTTTGTGTCCCTGCAGGCAGTCCATGCCTTCTCTAGGAATGTGCTCATGTGGAGAAACTTAATATATATGAACTGACAGATCAAAAATATGTCAGCAACAATTTCTGTGACTGGAGTGGTTGGAAAAATTGCCACCTCACTCAAGGGAAGTTGAGCTGACTATATTTGCAATTGGCCAATTCATAAATTTCTTCAAGCAGGTGTATCAAAAATTATACCACATGAATCAGACAGAACTGGCATCGTCATGGGGCAGTTACTTCAGACAAGTTTCCAGAAAGAGTGATGGTTTTCCTGCCTCCAAAGAACAGCGTGACTACTTTCAAACACTGAACAGCAGTTCAGACCTCGTGGCAAATTGCTTTTGAAACTGAGGAGACTTTGAGATATGGCACATAGGTCTGCAGTGCAAAGGGTGGGAAGTAAAAAACGACAGCTCAGCCCCTTGTGGGAGGCATCTTTTCAATATTTCACTCCAGATGCAAAAATCTCTATGATCTGTCCTGGAATCAGCCCTTTTCATTTAAAAATAAAAATAAAAGTCAGACTTCTTAAGAATCTCCTTGGAACTTCACAAACACATAGTTGTACTGACATCATCTCCTCTGCTTCTCCTTCACAATAAGTGTTCTTTGTGTGAGTGATCAGTTACACTAGGCATGGGAAAGCAATGGCACTCATGATGATGTTTGACCATCATTCTTGACCATTGGCCATGCTGACTGGTTATGACAGGAGCACCTGAAAGGCAATAGGTTGGGAAAGGGCGAATTACACCATCAGTTTTCTGGATGTCCATCTGATTTTCAGTCTGTGGTATTCGGAGGTATCAGCTTTATTAATTCATTTATTTTTCAAAGGATTAGATGTCATATTTCCCTTAATTCAAATGCAACCAGTCATGGCTGGAGAAGTTCACTGCGGCTACAGTCCTATGCCCACTAAGCTCCTAGCTAGGGATGGTGGGAGTTGCACTCCAACAATAGCTGGAGACCCAAGTTTTAGAAACAGTACTGGGATTTAATATGATTTTTAAAACAAAGTTTAGGAATATAAAGACAGGTTTACCAGGGCAGCTCAAGACATTTTGCCACCTGACGTGGAGAAGCAAATGGTGCCTTCCGCTCCACCCACAAGTCAAAATTCACAGAACACAAAGTCAGCCAAGTTACTTTAGCACCCAAGGCAGAACATCCTACAAATGCCTTCCTTCCTCCTTGGCAGTAAAAAATGTAACAATAATAAATTTGCTGCTATTTCATGACTTCCCAAACCGGCTGCTTGAGTTGGCTGCCTCACTCTGCCTAATGGTAGACCTGGCCCTGAGGTTGAACTATTTATTTTGTGCTTTTATCCTGTATTTGTATCTTGTGAGCCATCCTGAGATCTTTGGATGAAGGGGAGCGTATAAACTTAATGCATAATAAATAACAAAAATAATATTTCAGCACACCAGTTTCCAACCCCTCTCTTTCAAACTACTGCCACACACACACACACACAGAGAGAGAGAGAGAGAGAGAGAGAGAGTGTTATATACACACTGTTTGAGGGGAGGGGAGTAGATAAGACCATTGCACAGACAACATGAATAGCAGCTGCCACTTTAGATGATGTCATCACACATAGCTGTGTACAATTGCGAATCAGCATGTGCAAAACTGCACTGTAAAAATTCCGCTTCTGTGTGCTTCAGATACTACGTGTGTGCACAACACATTGTCCTCCCTTATGTTGTTGGGGTTTTTTGGTGCTTGCATGTAAGAAAGGTTGAGAAGTTTAAGATAGCACTTACCTTTGAACTGCACTTGTACAAAGGGTGGCTGATGGAATCCACATAATGGTGCCTCATGCAACGGTCTGGGTCTGAATCGATCATGAAAGTACTGTCTGTTTTACTGTCTGTGTCTCCCATTATTGCCAGAAGGGACAGCATGGAAATGGAAGCGGCTAATACATGATTTCCCATCGTTGGAGAACTTCTCGGGAAATACAGTAGAGGGAGGCAGAGCATCAGCAGCACTCTAAAGACTGAGGCCCAGACCCTTTCGAGGAAAATGAGAGCTCTGTGCTAAGTCTCTGGCTTGTCATTGCTGGTTTTGAGTTAGGCATTTGTGGAGGGTATAATCCATCAGAACATCTTCAGCATGGCTGCTGGGATAGAAAATAAATAAATTAAGATCCTGGAAAAACAACAAAATGGCCTCTAGAGTGAACTAGGCATAAATAATAATAAAGCCCAAAAGACCAGTGTCGGCCAAGAAAAACTTACTGAGCAAACATCATCCCATTGTAGGTGTGGTGGAAGAAGAGGTCAAAGCCTCGCAAGGCTGAAAGCCTCTTCTATCAATGTTTTAATAATAAGGACATTTAATATTGCATAAAATGTTTTTATGCAATGAAGTCTCCAGCCGGTTCCGTTCAATGTCAATTATTTAGCAAGGCACCTGAGGATTTCTGAACATTAAAAGGCCTGAGGATTTGCATGGAAAATTGAAAGGTGTGTTCCAGAGGATTAAAGAGAGTTACATTAAAGATGGAAATGTTGGCTCAAAGCAGAAACGAAAATTAATTCACTGGGCTCATCCCTCTCTCCAGTGATCTGTTCAACCATTCTAATCAGTGATTGCCCCAACGATAGACTTGCTTTTTTGTGCTCTGCACACAGCTGTGTCCACTGAAATGGGCTGAGATGTATGGAACATATGTGAAAATAATTATGCAGTCTTGATGCTAGCAAAGAGATCTTACCTACACATCCACAAAGGGTGCGTGAGCACACACACAACATGTGTTTGAGGGTGAGTGTCTGCAGCTAGGGGGGAAAGTTCTTGCCTTCATAAGTAGGAGGGCATCCATGTTTCACAAATCCTGATCTAAAACGAATCTGAATGAGATTTTACTAATAGGAGGTTCTGTGACCATACAGAGGGCACATTATAAGAGTCAGGTTTTTCCATCTCGAAGAAAGAGATGGGAACCACTACTTGACTACATTAAATTTGTTCACCTGTATGGAAATGTTTTACTTGCAATAAGCCAAAATAAATAAATCCAAAGAAGCTCCAGCAAATAACCCCCAAAGCCACATGCATTTGCTTTAAGTCACACTAGGATCGAATCACATAGCGCACCAAAGGTTGGGGACCTTTATCAGCCTGAGGGCCAAATTTATTGGCAATGGACTGAAGGAGAAAGAGGCCCCCTTCTAATGAAGGAGAAAGAGGCCCTGTTCTTATCTTATCACAACAGCCCTGATGAGACAGGCCCAAGTAAGCCCAGGCGGTGATCACGCTCCTCACATGCACAGTACTAACCACAGTCACGAGCTTCCCTGCAGATAAGCACACCCTGAGCATGCGGTGTACATGACTTGGGCACACCCTGAGCATGCGGTGTACATGACTTGGGCACGAGCACAGTCAGTACGTGGGGGGCTGGACACATGAATGGGATAGGCTCAGGGGGCTGAAAAGGGCGGGGAAACAAATGTATAAAAGGCTTTGCATGACCTGTATGTGTGTGCCAGACTTTGGAAGCAATTCCGCTGGTACCTGCTGCGCAGTAACCGAATAAACTTTTTCTCTGTGGAATCACACCCTGGCGTTGCTTAACTCCTTCATGCTCCTGGCAAGGGTACGAGGTGACTGGACCCAGACCCATAGGTAAAGAAGGCTACAGGACGAGACTCTGATTTTTGCACAGTAGGCTACATTCCAGCACTACAGATGCCAGAGTCTTCTACACACACACACACACACACACACACACACACACACACACACGTCTATCCATCTCGCCATCCTCTACCCAGGCATGCAAGCGGCATTATCACAGTTCAAAAACACATTCCAGCTAGGCAGAAGCTCTCAAGGAGTGTACCAAGCAGGTTCAATGGGGGATATCGTGTGAGGATCAGCTAGAGAGAGGCAAAGGGCTGTGAGGCGTGGAGGCCGCTCTCTGCAAGGCCTTTTCCACCTGACCTAGAGGCGAGGCCCAGACTCAGCCAGCCCTACTGAAGAGGCTCCTCTTGAGGTCAGATTTAATATGCTTTAAACCTCTTTGAGATTTTTATTAAAAATATAAAGTGGTATAGAAATTAAAAAATAAAAATAAAAATTGGGCCCCCAGTTTCCCACCCCTGACATGAAGTATCAGTGGTGGTATTTCATCAAATGATGAGGGCTAGAAACATATATTCTTTAAAACCTCCCAATATTCCTGCTTGAGATAACTGGTGCTTGAAAATCTGAAGCTCTTGACGCTGAAAGAATAGATGTCCTGTTGTACTTTCTCTTTATTCACCGAGATGTTTTATATATATTTTATAACATGTACATAAGAACATAAGAAGACCACCACTAGATCAGGCCAATAGCTCATTTAGTCCAGCTAACCCAATGTCTGTGAGCAGCATACAAGCAGGACATAAGTGCCAGAGCACTCTGCCCACCTACAGTTCCCAGCAATGGGTACACAGAAACAGGCTGACAGAGAAGGTGAAATATATTGATGAGCCACCTGATAAAATAGCAACAGCTGCAGATCTTGCAACTTCAGCCCCACCAATAAACCTACCAAATTCATTTTCAAGAAGCATATAAGATATGTCAGTCAAGTCCAACCAACCAATATGAGAAGAAGAAATAATGTTAATCAGTGAGCAGGTCTGGCCAAAGACATTTTGCTGCTTCCCACATGTCTAGGTGCATAAAGGCCAAAGGCAGCCAAGTTATTTTGGCATCTGGCGCAGAAAACCTCGCAAGCACCTCTCCCTCTCCCCTTCCTTAGCTGTCAAAATACAATAAACAGAAATGAAATGAAATAATAGTTGTTAAGTACAAAACCCATAAATTAAATTAAATTAAATAACCCTAAATTAAAGGATCATAAATTTAAAATACAATAACCATAAATTTTAAGAATCATAAATGTAGAGTACAGTAACCAAAAATGAAAGAATCATAAATTCAGAACACAGAAATCATGAATTAAAAAGCCATTTGCTGCTCTTTCATAACCCCAAAACAGCTGCATGTGGAGGCTTCCTCACCCTGCCCAGTGGTAGGACTGGGCTGGCCATTGAAATCCTACTGAAGGATATAGAAGGCTTCTCCCCTGTTCCAGCCACTAGCTGTTTCCCCATCTTTCCTTGCTCCAGGTAGGCAATTTGAACAGTGACATGCCTCTTGTTGGCAAGCAAGCTAAAGGACATAACCCCAGGTAATTAGCCCACAGTCTGCAGGCTGGATCCAGCCTCCCAAGTGGCCTCCCCTATCCCTCCCCACCATATTCTCAATCTGAGTTCACTTACTCCAACACAATTTGTGAATGGAAAAACCTGCCTGCAGGGGCAAACTATATGGCAATAGACCATGTTTAGTTTCGCTTGAGAACAGGTTTCTCCATGTCTTTCCTAAGACCTACTTGTGTTATTGTTCATCTGCTCTATCCAATGGACTGCTGAGCCACGTGGCGCCACACCCACCCAGAGGCTGCTTTCTACCACGAGGGGAAAATCTGTCAATTTTTATTTCAGTTTCTCTTTCTCTCTCTCTCACTCTCTCCTGTTTATTCACATTTCCAAATCAGTTTGCAAAAAAAAGGCCTTGTGAAAATTCACCAGCGTCTTTGTAAGAATTTCTCCTAGCACGTGAACCTTTGTCTAACAAACACTTTCTTATAAAACAATCTCCGCTATCATAATTTATTTTTGCATGCTATTCTCACCAATATTAGCATTTATATGTACATTTTATCTTCCTCTAGGCATTACATTACAGTGCTACCCCGGGTTATGAACTTAATTCATTCCAGAGGTCCGTTCTTAACCCGAAACCGTTCTTAACCTGAGGCGCGCTTTTGCTAATGGGGCCTCCCACTGCTGCCGTGCCGCTGGTGTGTGATTTCCGTTCTCATCCTGGGGCAAAGTTTGTAACTCGAAGTGTTTGTAACTCGAGGTACCACTGTACTTGGATGAAGAGTGGCATTGCAAAATTCAGATAAAGGACAGCTCAGTTCTTTTCGTTCTGGAAGTGTCAGATTAGAAAGCTTCACCTTTAGAGGTGAACGGAATCAAATTACTCCCGTCTCCCATCCCTACCCAACACTACTTGGTGGTGAACTGGGCAGGGGTGACTTGCATGGTGGCACTTAGAAAAGCCAGCGACTGCATGGGCTGATGGAGGAGGCTGCAGGGTTGAGCAGAGAATCCTACAGAGCCTCCTTTCAACTCTGTGGTGGTCCTTGAAGTACTAGCTCCAAATAAGCTGCTACGAAAAAGAGGCCAAAATTACAGAAACTGCAATAAAGATGATTACATACATTTACAAGAAATGTGGTGGGAAAGTGGAAGTTACAATTGCGGGCCCTGCAAGAACAGGGTGAGGAGCGGTTCCCATGGAGGCCTGCCATAACCTTCCCCACCCACTCTGCTAAGCTGCCACTTCACTAGACATGCCGCTGTGCTGCTGGGTGTCTATTGCCAACACAGCTGGGCGGTTTTTATGCCAGGCATCTGGCTGCTCACCCAGGCCAAAGCTCTACCTCTGTTTCCCAGGTCAGCTGTGGATGTGGGGAAGAACAAGCTGGTGGATTCTCCTAGGTAAGGTACTGGAGGGCTGATGCTTAGCATGAACTACCAGACTTTTTAGGGTGTGCCCTGTGCAACAGTTGCAAGTGAGGCTATACCACAATCGTATGGAAACCGCTCAATAGTTCTCTGCATATGCAGGCTGCCATATTGTAGCACCAGAGGAAGACGGAAAGCTCAATGTCCTACAGTAGGAGGGCCACTCGCACAGCACTTTAAAAATGGGGGCACAGATGTGCATGAAATGTGTGTGTGCTGATTTTGATGAGTAGGTGATCATTTAGAAATGATCACATTAATTTAAACAGAAACACACAATACAGCCCACCATAGTGAGGAACATGGTGACCAGATGACTTTTGTACCTTCTCAGTTTCCTATCTATCTAATAGGCAACTTTAAGGTCTCTTCTCTACCTTCCTGTTTAAAGTGGGCTTAGGATGGATGGCCCTTCAAACAAAGGACTGGCAGCCCTTCAAATAGAGAATTGTCCTCTGTCATGCAGGACACATGCCTACTGTATTCTACAGAAACACTGTCAAGCATCTGCTTGGGCTTGGCTCCATAGGGTGGGCTGGGGGGCAAAACTGACTACTCACTTCAGAATATAGGACGAATGAGTAAAACACACTTAATAGTTAAACGTGTTACGGTCCATAGTGGGCGAGACGCCCTGGGGGCAACGCAACTTCCTATTTTGCTTCCAGCGCAGCCCTCCCATCTCCGGAGCAGAGTTTTATTTGGAAGAGTTTCTGCTTGTTTGCTTGATTGATTTGTTGCTCTTGCTGCGAAGCCTGCCAACCTGGTGCCAGGTTTAGATCTAATAATAGGCATAAAATTCAAGGAGCTGCTAGCTGTGCAAGCAAATGGCAGCCCTGCACGAGGCAGACTCTCTGCTCGGAGCAAGTCCCTTCCCGCTAATCCCGGTGTGACCTGTGTGCATGGAATGGTGCCTGCTGGAGAACCACAAGCAAAAGGACCTCTTGCAGACTCTCTTCATGAGCCACTCCAAGCACTCTGCTTCCTTTTGCCATGAAACCACTAGGTAGGCCTAAGCACAATACTCTCCCTTAGCCTCTACACTCTCTCTCACACAATATCAGTGGCGAGGGAGATCTACAACAATGGGGTGATTGTAAGGAGTTCAACCGGGTAATGTATCTGAAGTGGTTTGAACACACTATAGTGCTATATCAATGCTATTTCCTGGTTTGATTTATACCTTGCCTTTCAGAACAACTCCCTCCCAGCACATCTTGCAGTGCAATATAATGCAATAATAAAACCACCAGCAGAATGAGTAAATAAAAACAGCAGCTGAGGGCTAGTGCTACTAGCTATAGGGGAAATTAGGCAGACAAAGGAACATGTCCGAGGGCCATGTTCCTTCCTGGTAACTGTGGATTTAGGATGTGTGTGTACATGGGTGTAAACAACGGGCTCTAGGAACATGAAGTCCATGTGGAAGTATAGATGGGGCAGCCTTGCTTTCCCAGCTTCCAGACACATGTTGCTGGTGCTTACTGGTGCTTACTGTCTTTGCCTGGCAGGGAGACAGCATGTCATTGAATTGTGACAATGGCTCTTGTTGGCCTGGATACAGGAAAAAGAAGTGTGTGGCAAAAGTCAGAAACCTTTAACTTTTGCATGGGCTGAATATAGCCTGCTGTGCAAAGGTAAGACTCACATCTCCACACACTTCTGCCTCTTGCCCACTTGCTATTGACATGTGGCCCACAGAAGATTGACCAGGAGGAAATTTGGCCCCAGGCTGGAAAAGGTTCCCCACTTTCTGCCTTATAGGAATCTGATCTGGAGCCTCCAGTGCGCAAAGCATAATGTGCTTTCTGACCAAGCCCTGACCTGTGTTCTCTTTGGGGCAATTCCGACGCAGGCAGCCACCACGTGGAACCATTTTTCTAACCACCTCTTTGTGAAGCCATAACTTTTATTGCAGTCCTCCATGCAAAATGAAACTTAATCAGCACATAAAAGAGGTTAAGTCATTGTTACCAAATATCCAAAAACTAGAGAAAAGTTTTCATATGAAACACATGCAAGGTTTGGCTGCGCTAGGCACCGTTCCGTATGTATGCCTGAAAGAGAACATCAGATGGAAATTAGGGGGGTGTGCTTGAAAAGCTGCTAGATAAAGAACATCAGGGGTTGGCGCTGAGTATTTTCTCTTCTGCTAATGTTCGTGCCATTATATTGATATTGGATATTTGCTAAGTGCTATGCCCTCTCGAGCGCCAAAATTTAAATTACGACAACGATTTCCTCTTGCATTTTTCCTTGCAGTCTATCAAGCCCTCATTTAATGCAACATTCAACATTGCTCCACCCTAATGCTTCTTTAACCAGAACCACCGTTCTCTGGCACAGTAGTGTGAAAGGGACTTAGCAAGAGAAAAAGTGTGCTTTGGCTCATCTCCCCTTTGTTTCCATGTGGCACAGAGGGAAGAAGTGCCCAGTAGGTCTTGCCCTTTGTCGGTAAATAAATATTCCTGCAGTGGGATTGTTTCCCTCTCCCTTCTTCATGCTTCCTTATTTAAGCATTTGTGCACGGCTGATGACTGGGCAGGCAGACAGTGATGCGAGTGCATTTGAAACCCTCGCAACTGCATTGTTGTCCAACTTAAAAATGCCGGATGAAGTCATAAAGCAGCTGTGATCCACTCAGAGGGAAAGAGGTGAAAATAGAGAACTGAAGCCACATAAAAGACAATTCCAAACAAACTGAAATAATTGCACCCCACCCAGCACGGTTTTGTATGGATACCAAATTTAAACATTCGGGGCTAGATCCTGCCTGACATAAAGGACAAGAGTAACTCTGGCTGCAGCAGAACTAACGTGATCTACTTCTGTTGAAGCTTTGGCCTGCCATTCACACACGCTAATCCAGTGTTATATAAACAGCATTCTGGACGAGAGCAAGGAGGCACCGTAGTCAGATTGTCCAAAAGTTAAGGGTGGGTCTGTTAACTTCTGGCCCTTATGTCCTCGATGACGCCCCCTCTTAACTGTCGAGTACTTCCAATACAAAGACAGAATCCACCTGTGTAGTCAGTTCTCCAGCATAACCCCGTCATTTTGAGGATGATGTCGGAGAGTAAGATTTCACTGTCATTTTCTGGAAGCCAGTTCTGCTATGTAATTTGCTATCACTTTAGCCTCTTTTCCTCTGAGTGAGCAGCTGAAAATGGTCTTAAATTCAAAACAGTTTCTAAAACCCATTTGCTCTAGTTTTATAGATTTTTTTGGTGTAAAAGAAAGGTTTACATCTGAAATGCCTGTTGTTTACTTCTCCACTGGCAAGGAATTAAGAGAGTGCTTTGTGCTTATCAGCAAAGAAATGGGGCGAGGGGGATACCTTGTTGGTTGGGACCCTCCCCCAGAGATTCTACTCGCCTTGGAAAACATCCATATGGCTCATGCCTCTGCTGTCAGTTGGGCACTGCAATGCCACTAGAAAAGAAAGCATCTTTTCACACCCAGAGACCATATTGCCAATAGTGGGAAGGGGACTCTAGAGACTGCATGGTCTATGCTGGTTCCACAATGTCCCACAATATCAGTTCTGCAACTGGGCAGGGAACCAGCATGAAAATGCCCAGCCTAGAATTTCCATCAGGTTACTAACCAATAAAATTTCAGGTATACACACAGTATGCCTAAAGTGTCAGTTATTATTCTGTACCTTAGCACCATCAGCCACCAGACAACTAGTTCACTGCCTTACTGGTTACTTGAGAACTTGGGATGGCACTGATGAAATTTTATCCAAAAATACCCATTAACTATCTTTTTAAAAGTAATCATAATCATATGATAAGCATGTCACCTCTAAAACGCAGGAGAATAGACAGCATTTTGAAAGTAAACGAAGAGCAATTTAGGCTGCAATCTTTTACATGCTTACCTGGGAGTAAGTCTTATTGAATTCATTGGGACATACTTATGTTTAAAAATGCATAAGATAGCACTGTCAGAAGCTTACAAGTCCAGATATATTTCTATACATTTTATTTTCTGTCTGAAAGCTTTTTTTAGTTCAGCAATATATGGATAGTAATTTGATTGTGGGCATTGCAGGATAATAGCTTTGCCCTGGGGAAAAATTGATTGTAACTGTTTACAGCAGACGTAGTAGCATCAAGACCTCTAATCATGGAATTGCACCTAACAGTGATATATAGGAGAAAGACCACAAAGTTCAATTAAAATATCTGGTGTCAGTTGGACAATTTGGGGCAAGAGTTCTGCTCTGGCTTGCAAGCCAAAATGGAAGGGACTGTCCTCTTCCCATCTCCATAGAAAAAGGCACAGTTAACATTTCTTCTCTTCCCCCCACCTCCCACCCCAACCTCTGTTCCCTGTTGGCCTGGCAACAGCTTCACAAGCTTCACTAGTGCCGTCTTAAAATGGTGATGTGCAATGGGTACTGTTGCTTGGCACAGGATTATTGAATGGACACAGAAGACAAAAAAAAGTTGTAGGTAGCCATGTTGGTTCATTCAAAAAGATCTAGAAACAAATGCAGAGACCAACAAACATGTCGCAAGGTAAACAACAAGCTTTCAAGTTCTCCAGAACTCTTCTACAAGCTGGAAGGTAGAATTCTAGAATTTGAGTTCTGATAAAATCTCACTGGTTTTTTTGGATTCTTTTCTCCCTAAGAGACCAAAATGACCACCTACAATTTTTGTTATTTGAAGACTTTTAAAACTGAAGGAAGATTATATTCTACTACGTGAAGATGGGACATGCCATCTGCATTTTGGTTCCTACAAATGACTCATTATTAATTGTGCTAATAATCCTATCAGAGGAATCATACTCAATCCTCCTTTCAAAATTATTTGTGATTACATGGGGGGCAGTCATACTGTTTCATTTCCAGTCTGTGTATATTCTGTAACTTACTGCTAAACTACCGTTAACTTTTCATACCACAAATGCTCCGAGTTTTTGTTGTTCAGCTTTTGTTGCACTATAGCCCCTCCAGACAACATTAATGTGGTACTAATAGGGAAATATCACTGGACAGCTAACAAAGTAGAATACATTCACCACTAATGCACTATTATTGTGTAAACAGCATGTTGTAGAAGACATCCACATTGGAACACCCATATGGAGGGTCTCCCAGTTTGACTTCTATTGACTCTTAGTGCGCCACCCAAAATCAACCTCCAACGTTGCTTAAAATAAAAACTGCCAAACTTATCTTTACTTCTGTTCTCTGCCTCACAAGGGATCCAGGTGCTGGAAATGGATCTGAGTAACTGCTGTATGTTATAATCTTTTTTAAAAAAATATATGGGGAACATTCATTATTGTTTCTTTATCCCAGCAGACATTGGTGCAACCCAAAATCTGTTTCCAGATTTCAGGACTCTCTAGCAGAGACTAATCAAATTAAGCCTGCCTAATGTGTCCTGCACTCCGTCTTAAGACTGTCATTTTCTGCAGACCTCTAGGTTTCTGCATAATGTCTAGCTCTCTCCCACTTTCCCTGTTTTGCTTAAGCCTGAAGAAAAAGTCTGGAGAACTCAAAAACTTGATCACTATTTAGCAGTAGCAGAAAGCATGGTGGGGCAGTGATGCTCCCCTGATCTCTGGCTGGTTGCAGCACTGCTGGTAGAGTGGAAGGGAGAAGGCAGCAGCAAAGTCCGCATGGCAGAAATCCACTCATGCTCCCACCAGATTGGATCTTCCAGTGCATTTGCACCGCACTAACCTTGCCACTACTTTGTTTCTCCACCTTCCTTTAAGCAGCACCAACATGACCAACCAAAGGCCAGGTGTAGAGCAGTGATGACCCTCTAGGCCACCCACTCCTGCTCCTTAGGGAAGGTTGATTTGCTCCTAATAGAAGACAGTATGCAATATGTAGATATGCAAGTGTTGCAGTCACTCATTGCTTTTTCTCTTGAGAAAATCACTGGGAAAATTCCACAAAGGATGAAAATAATAATAATGAATGAAAACAGTGTGTGTGTCCCCCAACAAAACCCCTATATAATTCCATTGCAGCGTACCCTTGTCAGGAATTAAATCCTTTCCTTTGGATTCATTCAGTCAAACTTGTCATTTCCTTGAAGGAAGGACTGGATGAAAAAGGGTGAAAGGTCCTCAGATATCAACTTGTTTCTTTTAACAAGGTGGGTGGCATGCTCTGAAGCTCCCATCCAGCCCCAGCCTGAGTGTTGTGGCAGTGATATGTGGGTCACTATCATGATATGACTGACCTTCCTTCACCAAACCAGACTCTGAACATTAACTCAAATCCTCAACTTGCCTGCAAGACCATGCCAACATGGATTATAGCTCTGCTGTATTAATAAGCATGAGAACCTTATTGGCAGATTCAGTTCTTATCTATCTATCTCTCATCTATCATCTATCATCTATCATCTATCTATCCATCTGTCTGTCTCTAAATCTCTAAAATAATATTGATCCAGGAGAATTCCTGGTGGCTCAGAGTCCCATTGGTATGAGCTGGCTTCAGCATTTGATGGACAAATGGCGAGAAAGAATACATTGCCTGCCATTTAGATAAAGTTCCGCGATCGGGGGAGCTGCGCCACAAAATTCCAGCAAACAGAATGAGAGCCGGTGGAGCTTGGAAGTGGTAGTGCCAGTGCTACCCGGATTCTATTCTGAATTAGATTATGTGAAAAAAGAGAGAATATATAGACAACCAGCTGCTCAAAGGCTTACTACAACCTTGCTTTTATTGTTCTGCTAAGTTAGAGGTGCGGCATCAGAGGGATTCCATGCATACCGTCACTGAGAAATTTTAATATGTTCCACACTGACACACATAAAAAGGAAGTAACAGCTGATCATAAGTCAGACCAGGCGACAGCGTCACCCTCCCTCCCTCCTTCTCTTTCTCTCTCTCCCCGTGTGGGAGCAGAATTGTGGGCCCTCCAGAATTGTGGGGTCACGGGTGGATTCCACATCATAATCAGCAGGGAATCAGGCAAACGAGCTCATACAATTACATCTATGTTTCATTATGGAAGGAAGTGAGCATGTACAGTATTCGCTCCTCCCAGCAACCACCCAGAGTGGCACATAAAGTAGTGAATTACAGAGGCATGCCAGATCAAAGCTTTTGCAGTCCCCCTTTCTCAGATTACAAGAACAAAGGAATAGTCAGTGGCATGAGGAGGCAGTCAACTGAAAATAGGCAGCAACGTGATGAATCACTTTTTCTGTGCAAATTATCGTGTGGAACTCACTGCCACAAGAATTTATTTTTTTTCTTAAATCGAAAACTTAGCAGGATTTTAAAAGACAGCAAGTGCCAAATGATTCGCATTAATACAAAGGAGACCAAACAAGAAAAGTTTGAAACATTTTTAAAGGATATTACCTAGCCTTTTGTGCTTCAGGACAAAAAGCAGATTTTAACTAGAAAAGTCTAAATGCCTAAAGAGGCATTTATTTATTTGTTTGTTTGTTTGTTTGTTTGTTTGATTGATTGATTTACAGCCTGCCTGTGAATTGAATGGTTCTCAAAGCAGCTTTTACATAAAGGTCAGACTGTTTGACTCTATTAGCCATGCCCCACCAGCTTCATAGTAATCCCTGTCTGAAAGGATTTGAACAAGTAGAATCGGCTTACACATATTCTGCTCAGTAAAATGGATCCCACAGTGTCAGGGCCTTTCTAGTGGTGGCTCCATACTTGTCAAACTCCCTCACCGAGGATGCACATTTGACCCCCCCTCTCCTTTTCAGCTTTTAAATGAGCCTTGTAACCCCTTTGATTTCACACTGCTTTCGAGTTAAATGTGCCCCGTCAGTTCTTAATGTTTTCTTGTTTGCATCACTGATGTCTTGGTTTTGAAATTATTTTACTGCGCTTCCTGTGCTAGACTGTAGTCTGCTCTAGGGCACCTTCAGATGGCTACTGTATGTACTGCAGGTGGATGCGGCAGCAAGCATTTTGCACATTTTATGTGGATGTTGTAGATTTGTACTGGAAGGGCCTTCTCGGTAGTGGCACCCTCCCTGTGGAACACCCTCCTTTCAGATGTCAAGGACATAAACAACTACCTGACTTTTAGAAGACATCTGCAGGCAACCCTGTTGAGGGAAGTTTTTAACGTTTGATGTTTTCTTGTGTTTTTAATATTCTGTTGGGAGCCGCCCAAAGTGGCCGGGGAAACCCAGCAAGATGGGCGGGGTATAAATAATAAAATTGCTATTACTATTATTATATAAGTCTGCTCCCCTCCCCTCCAGTACAGAAAAGCTCTTCAAGGTTTCTGCATTCTTGATTTTGCACTGCCTCCTTTGAATCCTCCAGTCCTGCCATTTGCCCTCTCCCTCTCATTCCCCCCCAACAGTGGAAGCTGCCCTGTGATGCCATGCCGACATGCCACCCTGACCTTTCTTCTGGCTCTTGCAGCTGTGGCATCAGCACTGGCAGCACCATTGCCACAGTTCCCTCTCCTTCCTTTGCAGCAAGAAATCCAGTCCCTTCTCATTCCCTCCTTCCTTGTGCCCTGCAGCTGGGCTGACTCAGCCCCTGCAGGGAAAGGAAGAGGATAAGGCAAGAGAGACCACTACCAACACAGCCACACCTACACCATTGTTACTCTTTGTCTGCCTCCCCACCAGCCCTCCCCTCACTGCCTGAGCACATGGATCCTCCATTTGGGCTCCCTCTGCTTTCATGCAAATACCCATCTCCGACCAAAAGAAAATTAACAGCCTCACCAGCTGCAAAGCTTCCCCCGGCCCTCGCAACACGAGGGCCGCCCACTTCATTCCCCCGCTTTATTTAAGCAGGAGTTATTCACCAAGACAGCACTATACTTTCACAGTTTTTAATATTCAGGTTGTGCTTGCTTGTTTCACATCCCCTCAGTACTACAAAAACGGCATCAGCTGGAAGCATGTGGGACAGGCTTACGTCACAGAGAAACGGCTTCAGTGTGGCACATTGCCATGGCAGCATGGCACATGAGACAAGGAACATTTCTGGTATGAAAAGTTGGGGGTATTTCCTGGAAGCTATTGACCATGTACCCGTCTCAAAGACTTTGAGGATGCAAACCAGCTTAAATTCAGGAGTACATGTGACCACTCTGATACCTTTAAGAGTACAAATCATCCCAAATGCACATCTGGAGGGGAACTTAGATGGCTGCTTTAATTTCTTTCTTAGAGCATCCTATACATGTCTACTCAGAAGTAAGTCCTACTGAGTTCAATAGAATGTGAGCATGGGACTGCAGCCTTACTGAATTGATTTTATGTATACTTTATATTTTAACTGTGTCCATAAGCAGTCTTGCGAGGCTTTCACACTGAAAGGTGGCACGGAACTCCTACTGTGGTGGGTTGGCTGCAGTGTTGGACTAGGACATGGGAAACCAGGGTTCAAATCCCAGCCCAGCCATGAAACTCACTGGTTGATCTGGGACCAGCCATTTTCTCTGAGCCTACCCTACGTCAATGTATTGTTGTCTGGATAAAACTGGTGGGGCCCACCTTGAGCTCCTTGGAGAAAAGGTGGGGTGCAAATAAATACATGTGTTGTTCTCAGAAGGATGAAGAACAGCATCCCTGCAGGATCAGACTTAGAGACTTCCTAAACCAGCATCCTAAACAGCGTTTCCGTGCGCTGCTCTGGTTCACCAGAAGTGGCTTAGTCATGCTGGCCACATGACCGGGAAGCTGTATGCCAGCTCCCTCGGCCAGTAAAGCAAGCTGAGCTCACAACCCCAGAGTTGTCCACAACTGGACCTAATGGTCAGGGGTACCTTTACCTTTAAACCAGCATCATGTTTCCAACAGCGGCCCCCCAGATGCTGTTGGGAAACTCTGAGGCAGGCCAGATAGGCAGCAGCTCTCCCCACATTTGTGCCCAGCAATTGATTTTCAAAGCTATACTGCTCATTTAGCCATCATGGCTAATAAATGCCCCGTGAGCTTGTCTAAACCTTTGAAAAAGCCATCTAAGGTAGCAATCACATCTCTCTGTGCTGGATTCCATAAGTTAAGAGTGTGCTGTCCCTCTCCAAAGGTGATCCACTGCAGTGGTAGGACAGTTCTACTTAAAGTACAACAACGTTTGATCCAGTCCTGCTATAAAGCATGTGCCTATTGGAAACAAAACATGACTACTCCAATTTGTTTTACAAATGGTCTTGATCACGAATAATTGTCCTGATACCATCATGAGCACAAATAATCATGCATGCACAATAAAGAAGAAATCTCTTTCCTGGATCTCACTAAGTTCTGAGGAATCTCAACCCAGCAAACAGCTGCATGAGGAGTTCTGAGAAGAGACAGTTCTTTCCTTCCACTGATGTAACAGTGTCTTTGCTGATAATGGTAGAAGCAGACCGGGCAGCCAACAGCAAGCCAGATCTGACTTGAGCACATCAGTGCTTGTGTTTCTAACGCCATAGAGGCAGCTGTCTCCCCACCCTGACAATGTGCAAATTGCATTCTATTAGTGACAGTCAACTTGGATAGCTTTTGCATTAGCACTCCAATGTGGTGGTTATGGCACATGAATTCTGCAACCTAAACAAACTGTGTTAACTAAAAAAAGTGTGCTTATTTTATATAATTTGTTCTGCTACTGCTATGCAAAATCCTTTTGGAGAACTGAAAGTGCCACCCTGAAACACTGGAAACCTGTTCAGCTCAACTCTGGTTTCTAAAATTTTACTTTGTGTTGCCCACATGCTTTCAGGTTTATCTTTGCAATAATAAAAGCAGTAAGAACCAAAAGCCAGTTTTACAAAACAGAGATCCTCTGAAGGCTCAATTCTGCACACCCGTAGCACTAAATCCTATGCCTGCCTGCAAGGATCACACAGAATCCACACCGGCCTGCTTTTAAGTCTGTTGAACCACAAATACATCCTCAGTGTTGCATGTGATAGGTTTACAGGTGTGCTTCTTTAGAAGCGATTCACTGTGAATGGCTCTTAACAGGAGAAGTGTAACAGGAGTTTCTGCCCTAGCCTTCCCATCTAAAATAATCCTCTTAAAATTTCACATAGCTTATGTAGCATAAGTCGTTAATTTCATAGCCACCATGAGGCATCTATGGTACTGTCAACGTTTAAATGGTGAAAGAGGCCATTTCAGACAGTAAGCATAACTGAGGGAAATTAGTGCAGGATTATTCCTCAGCTCCCCAAACAAAACTAAGATGAAAATATAATAACCATGCTGGAGTCATCTGGGAGGAAAGGCAGGATACAAATTTAATCAATAAATGAAATAGATTATTCAGTGCAAGGGCTATAGCTCAGTGGCACAGAACAAGCTTTACGTGCAAATAGTCCGAGGTTCAATCCCTAACTTCTCCAGGCAGGGCTGGGAAAGATCCCTGTGTGAAATCCTGGAGAGCTGCTCTCAGCCATCGTAGACAATTCTGAGCCAGATGGTTCGATGTAAGGCAACTTCCTAAGGCAGGGGATCTCTCTACTGCATTAGGACTTTGTCTTTCGGCTCTTCAGCCTCTTGAATGACATTACACTGTTTTGGAATCCACAAATCTGATGCCATTTGCCTTCTTCCAGTGTATAATCATAGCAGTGATGACAGCAAGCTTCTGCCATTCAACGTCCATGCAAAAGGAAAGGTTCAGGCTGCACGAGTGTTAACTGTAAAACATGCTTTCACTTAAATCCAAATGCTTCTGCTATGTTCACCCATCTTGATCACATCACCCTTCTGGATCAATGGGTGGTACTCACTAGCTTTCTGGGACAAAACCAACAAACAAAGGGGGAGAGCCAGTAAGAAATGAAATTATCCAACTGCACGGCAATCTTTTATTATTGCATGACACAATATCGCTATGCAATTGGGTTGGTTGCTTCCATTATGGGGCCAGGGCTAATGAAGATGGTCCTTAGCCACAAATTTCAAAAATATTTTCTAAGTTATTTTCGCATACACTTTCTCTGTCATGTCTGTTTGCCTTGCTGTGGTTCACACATTTCCACTGCAAACATCACACTTCATATAGGGGAAATGTTATCTTTAAAATATTCTTGTATCACTTGCAATAAGCTTACTCTACTATTATTCTTCCTATTTCTTCAGAGTGGGGGATGAGCCAGAGAGGTTTGTTCACTTTTTTCCTTTCTGAATCTTAGACTAGCTGGCAGCACTCCCCTCAAATGCAGCCTTTAGAAAACACTTTCATGCCCACATGGAATTTATGCTATAATCATGCATGCTGCCTTAATTATTCATTCAACTCACTGTCTTGTGATGCTGTTTTCTTCAGGAATTTGTCCACTAAATTTCCTCGATGTAGATGTTGCTGTTACATTTAACATGCTTTTAAAACCCTAAACAACTTAGGACCACAATATCTAAAGGACTGCCTTGTTTCCTTGCTGCCCAGCAACAGCACTCCTCTGATGGGACACTGCTGAGAGTAACTTATTCAGAAGCACACTTTGCCTATGCAAGATACCAGGCTCTTAGTGTTGCAGCTCCAGCTCTCTGGAATTACCGACTAGCCAAAAAACAGACAAGCACCTAACATGATGGTGTTTAGGCACCTACTGAGGACCTTATTGTTTAGGAAGGCTTTCTTTGAGGTGTAGCCCAGTCATTTATGGAAGATCAAATTTACATCTGGTGAAATGTTTTATTGTTTTTAGAGCTTGTATGGATAGTTTTGTTGTTCTGGAGTTTGCTGAATTACTCTTATTGCTTTTACAGCTATTATTATTATTATTATTATTATTATGTGCACTGCTTCTATGGTTTTATGATGTGAAGCCACCTATACATTTATATAATAATAATAATGAAAATTGCCACTACATCTTTGATTAAAAAAAACCTCATTGTATTATTATCTCTCATAATTATGCTGCTCTAAAATAGAACATTTGAAACCTTCCCCTCCAAAAAAGGGGGTCACATTAGTCTTACTCAGAGTAGACTCATTGGTTTCAATGAATCTGCTTGCAATATGGTTTAGTGAGCTATCACCCAGTGATTCCAGGGCAGCGTCAGAAACTTCTTTCAACAGGAGGTATGGGAAGGCTGGCAAATTATTTCTGAGAGCTTTGCCCTGCCTGAGCATCCTTGGTTTGATCTGCCGAACAGACATCCCCCTGCATTATTGGTTGTGCTGACGGCGTAAGCCGACTGCTCAATATATCTCCTCTGTTCTGCAGCCAAGACAAACACTGTGGATTCCCTCGCCTTTCCTAACCAATCAAATGCACATATTAAATCCATCCTAATCCATAACCAGTGCTGTGCACCCCGTGGCAAAACTTCCCAGAAGTTTGGATAAATACAAAAGGGGGGAAGGGGGAAGGGGGGGGGGAGAGATCCTAAACAAAACCTAAAACCTTGCAAAGGATGACACCCAACCCTAGAAATAAATATTGCCTATTGTTTCGAATTATTCCAAGCCCTCCAGCAGATGACTGGCAGAGGATCAGCATACATTAGTTGTCATAAAAGTAAACACATCTCCGTTTTAAAGCAGGAGCTTCGCCTGCGTCCATGGAGTCCCATTGTAATGGGACAAAGGCAGCGCTGGAGATACCCCTCAGCCCCCTTTTTGGACTCGCACGACTCAGCTGCCTGTCCCCCTTCCAGTTCAGCCTCGTACAAACGAGGGTCAGTGCAAACCGAGAAGCCCCTGCGCGGTGATGAGATGGATTTAATGCTGCAGTTATTTTATCCCCAGAAGGACTCATTCTTTTTTTTCCCCCACTGACTGCCCCCTGGCATCCTCAGGAGACACATAATTAAAGGCACGCTGGCAATCAATCAATCAATAAAAAAGATCTAGTAGGCAGCGAATCTTTAGGCAATCGCTAATGAAATCTGAGTTCGTGAACAATAAAGCAGGATATTTAAAGAGCGCGGGGCTGTCAAAAGACAAATCATTCTCATTAAGCACATTAAGGCGATATTTGGCGTTCTGATCCAATCTCTCTGTTCCCTGCCTGCTTACCTTTGCAAAACGCGCCGCTTTCACCTTCCTTTGGACTCCGGCAACTCAGAGCGAAAAAGAGGTCTTGTTACTTCCAAATGCTTTTGTTCTTCTGTCCCCCTGTCACATGGCTTGCCTTTTATATTTGCAACACACAAAAGTTAGGGCTGTTGTTTAAGCAGGAGAGAGAGAGAGAGAGAGAGAGAGAGAGAGAGAGAGAGAGAATGTCAAATGGAAAAGTGCCATTGCAGTCATATATCAATCAGGCGAGCGGCAGCGGCAGCTCACAAGCAAATGGGAATTCCACAGAAATGTGAAGCTCTTGTTATCTGAGAAATCACTAAACACCACCAGTCAAGCTTCCTTCTTCTGCACAGACTTCTCTCATTGGAGAACTGGAAAACTGGATGCAAATACACTGAAATTTCAGGATGTTTCCTGTGATGGCATACAAGGCTATGGAGGTTCAGGTCCAAACTTCATTCTGTCCCACCTAAATTTGCCAGATCACTTGGTCAGAGACAAGCTCATTTGCACCTCTGCTAATTGTTTGCCATTTCAAATGGGGGGGGCGGTGAGGAGAGAAAAATACTTTCCAGGAAAATATCTACCAAGTGTAACTTCTTCCACAGTCACCTTGATGAGGTTTTGTCTGAAGAGTAAGTTATTGATGCTAGATTTATAACTTGAATCCTGTGTGTGAGAGAGAGAAAGAAAGAGGTACTGACTTATTGCAGTTGATCAGACAGGGCATATTGTATTGCCTTGTCATTAAACTGAATGAACATGCATACATTTGCATCTTTCTCCTTGCTCTCTTGGAAGTCTGCTTCAAGCAAGCTCTCTCACATATTAATGATCAGAAAGACAGAGTGAACTCATCACCTCTCCGCCCTCTGTGACCAATCTTTAAAACTTTTTTTCGCTTAAGCTTTATGTGCCACTGGGCTTACGGGGATGGAAGTTATACAATTTGCTCTAGCGCCACAGACCTTATCAGTTCCGCCATATATTTCTGTAGTGTTTGGAGGATTAATGTCAGTGCACACAAATGGTAACAGAGCCGCCAAGCTGGTTAAAAATAAAGGCTTGTACCCAGGGCTGAAGAGTACAGAGGGAGCAGATCTTGCCATTCACAAGTGCCTATCTGATCAGGAGGCTGGACCTGCAAAAAGGCAGACCGTCCCCCTGAGTCCATGCTGTCACAGTCTCTTTAGGTTTGGGCAGGCTGGGTGTTGTTAATATCTGAGCCTCTTATGTGGTAAAAGATCAAAAGACAGATGGAAATTATGCTGTAAAAATAGACTCCTCTAAAAGGGGAATGGCTGGTAGATGAGTAAGCATCATGAACACAACAAAGGAAACATTCTTTGGCTTGATCTGTACAGTCAGATTTGGCTGGATGGAAAGCAAGTGGGCCACTTTGGTTTTAGAGGGGCTTAAATTTGAGTTTGAGCCATCTCTCCCACCCAGCCCCTCGTGAAACGTTCAGTTTGTTCTTTCTTTGCAGCTTTTCACTGATCTCTTTGTGATCAATTTGGGGTTCCGCCTTCCAACTCTGGCATTGACAAGAGGGATGGCGAGGTGGCCATCCAGAATCTCTGTCTAGAACCATTTTTATTTGATCCAAAGTGTGCTCTGGAGAACTGCAATGGATATAAATAAAGTAAGAACCATGATCTGTTGTCACAACCCTCATTACTGGGAAGTGAGCTCCACCGAATACAACTGGACATACTTATGGGAAGACATGGTTGTATTTTTATTTCGTAAAATTTATATTCTGCTGGGTTGTAATACCAAAAACCAAAAATTCAAAGCAGTTTACCAAAAGAATAAAACAAGAATTTAAAACATTCAAAAATTATTAAAATCAACAATAAGCTAGAAACAGTTATCAGCTTTCTACATATCTGGGTAGGCTTGTCTAAGCAAATACGATTCTTGCAGATTACAAAAAAGTCACACCCATTTTAAGCCACTTATTTGTCAATAGCTCCTCTAAATGCAGTCAGAATCTCCTTAGACAAAGGACTGCTGCAAATGTTCTTTTTACTGCATATATGATGCTTTCTGCTCATGGTGCTAAGGGGCAGCTCTACACAATTCTGCTTCCAATAATATTTGTGCGTGGAAAATTTTTGGGGTGGTTAAACTGCTCCATTTCCAATCTGTGCACATTCTGTAACTCCCTGCTGAAATCCCTTAACTTTTGTACTAGTGTTTTTGTCTCCCTTTTGTTGCACTACAGCCCTCTCTGGACTGCAATAATGTGGTAGCATTGTGGAAGCACCACAGAACTACCAATGAAGCAGAACAAAGCCACGACAAACACACTATTATTGTGTCAATAACATGTTTCTGCATACAGCTGCCAGGGTCCTTACCCTACAGCAGGCATAGGCAAACTTGGCCCTCCAGATGTTTTGGGACTACAACTCCCATCATCCCTGACCACGGGTCCTGTTGGCTAGGGATGATGGGAGTTGTAGTCCCAAAACAGCTGGAGGGCTGAGTTTGCCTATGCCTGCCCTACAGGGTGAAGGAAGTCTACCTGGAATAAGTCTGTCATTCAACATTTCATAGAATCATAGAATCATAGAACTGTAGAGTTGGAAGGGACCCTGAGAATCATCTAGTCCAACCCCCTGCAATGCAGGAATATGCAGCTGGCCCATACAGGGATCGAACCTGCAACCTTGGTGCAGAAAAATGGTATGAGATGGCTAAACTCCTTCGCCGGACAATCTGCAGTCCCTTCTCTGTGCCCAGAACTGTTTCAGAAGTTGCTGGGGCTAAAAGAGGGAGGCTATGACTCAGTGCATATCTGCCCTATGTGGCCAGCCCCCAACACTAGAGAGAGGAGCAGAGAAGAGTTTCCATGTTCTGGCATCCAGGCTGGTTCTGCACAATAGGAGTGGCTATAAAGCCTTCCTATTCAGGTTGGAACTTTGCCTGAGCAATGATAGTCTTTCCTGGCTCTGGACTTGTTTGGGCTCTTGGCTTGTTCCCTGGTTCTTACTTCTGACTTGACCCTCTTGGCTCAGATCACTGGCACAACTCCTGGATCCTGGTCCTCAGCTCTGGCTCCCGCTTGCTGGCTGCTGCCCAGCCCTCACAAATGGCTGCAAGGGCAATTTTGCCAGTGTAAGTGAGGAGGTCTCATTAAAAACAACAACAAGTGGAATCCATTTTGGTACATTATCAGGAGGTACCCATCCTTTTAAATCCCTCCCATCCAAACACACACACACACAGACTCTTGAACTATACACAACATTATTGTTATTTATAGAAGGTCATTGTCTATTCTGAGTCCTTCTGGGGCTCAGGACATATAATTAAATGTATAAATAAAACATTAAAATTGTATCTTCTTTTTTGGCCTTTTTCGAAAACACCTTTTAAAGTCTTTAATAGAAAATCCTATGCAGGTCTACACAGAAGTAAGTCCTAGTGAATCCAGTGAGATGTACTCTCAGATTGTGTATACAAAGGCACATTTAAAGCACATTACTTCTCTCAAATAATTATGGGTACTGTAGTTTACCCAGAGCTGATTTCTTTGGTCTATTCCTCTATACAGAGGTGTGAATAATTCCAGGGGGGGGATCAATTCCAAACAAAAGGATTTCCGTAGCCTTTTTTCCAGGACTGGAGATGTGTGAAGGCCCAGAAAAGACCTGGGAAGTAGGTAGGATGGAACATTTTTCTGGGTTCCTGCCCTGCAAAAAAAACAACAACCCCACAATAAAAATCTGTTTCTTCCACCCCAGGCCTTCACATCTGTACCCAGGACCTTGCAATGGTGCAGTTGAAGGAGATGCAACCATGTGGGAAGGTAACTTTACACAATTACCTGTGAGTAAACCCCACTGAAGTCAGTAGGGCTAGTTTTGGGGTAGATATATATAGGATTGCGCTATAAGTCACAGCAGTTGTCAAGCAAACTGTGTATGTTCTATATACTCTGTAAATGGAAGTATAGCATTTTACCTGTTAAAATTCAATAGAATAATTAATAAATGAATGAACAGATAAATAAATAAAAAGTCAGGGTAGAATAGTAAAATCACAGAATTGGACTTCTGCAAAGCAATAATCTTTCACCCAACATGGGGCTTGAACCCACAATCCTGAGATTAAGAGTCTCATTTACTACAAAGTGGGCTATCCCAGCTGTTAAGCAATATTAGAGCAAAGCATGAACCAGCATGGAGGATGTTACCTTCTGTTGTGTTTTGTGTCCATGAGTGTTTTAATATGAAACAAAGCCAAGCTTGATCAGACTTTGCAACCATGTCATGTCGTCCCCCAGATCTTCTCCACTGCCTGTTTTGTTCTCCTACTGCCGAACAGCCTTAGCAACTGCATGCAACACCCTCACTCCATGACTGATCAGCCCTCTGTGGTTCCCCATTGGTTGCCCGGGGGCTATATAAAACGGCACATAGAAAGCAAAAGAAAAAAATATTTAAGCAACATGACAGCTGCTATGTTTGTTTGCTACTCAGATGCCTGGCTGGTTTCTGCTCTCACCTTGACCCATCCTTGCTCCTGCTTTTGAACTTTTGTGAGAGTTCCCCCAACTGTCTGGCTCCTGCTTTGCTTTTGTTTGGGAGCCTGCTAAATTCCTGCTCCTATCCAGGTACCCCGGCTTGGCTGTGACCCCAGTCTGTCCTTCGTTGGCAATCCTTGATTTGTAGTTCTGACTGTTCCTTACCCTCCAGAGCTGTCAGCACTCCAGATAGTCCTATTGGTGTGAAATACCTGTTTATGGTTCCAATAACTGTTGGTCAGAGGCGAAGGAGATGAGGGAGTATTTAAAAGAGTTGGCTTTTTTCAGACATTCTCCTCTTTCTGCTTCTGCTTCTTTTTACCAGACATGCTTTGTGTCCTCCTGTATTCCATTAATTGCTCTAGAGCAAACCAAACTCATGCCTTCTATTTCCTAATATTGAGGAGATGCTGTTTCTTCTGTCTTCCAATTTATGCTGTCATTGTAAACTCGAGACTTTAATTACTGTGTGACATAGCAGAAACCTAAAACAATGAATTAAGGAGGAGTTGTTCTGGCTCAAGTGAGCGTGGTTTGTTTCAGTCTCTTGTGCAATTTTTACAAGGCTCTTCAAAGAAAAAAAGGAACTTTTTTTACAAAGTACAACACATCCCTTAAACATAAATCAGATAGAGGATTTCTGGAAAGAACAGAATAAATCTCTAAGAAGTTATAAATTGGAGCATGTTTGAACTTAAAAAAACAACAACACACACACACACACAC